ACGTCTATGGGGCACCTTGTCAAAGGCTTTGCTAAGATCAAAGTAAATAACTACCACTGACTGCTGCTCATTACGAAGAGAAGTGATTAGATTAAGAAATGCCAAGTGATATGTTTCGCAGGATCGCTCAGGTAAAAATCCATGCTGACTAGAGCTCAGAAGCCGATTAGCTAGACAGAAGTCAAGAATTTCATTGAAAATAATCCTTTCACGAAGCTTTGCTAGAGACGGCGTTTTGTGCATGCCCCGGTAGTTATTAACATCGGATCGAGATCCTGACTTGAAGACGGGAATGATAATTGACGTTTTCCATGTTTCAGGAAAGAATCCTTTTGAAATATAAACTGAGAATAAATGACTAAGTAATATGGGAAGGTCGGACGCTTGTTTAATAATCTAATTCTGAATCCCATCCGTTCCTGAGCAGTGGGAGTATTTCAAACGGCTTATGTGTTTCTTAATGAGATCTGAGGGGACACCAATTGTACTAAGTGTCCTATATGAAAGTGATCGAAAGAAAGGGACCGGATCGGACTCGGTAGCAAGGTGTTTTGCAAAGAAAGCACTAAACAACTCCGCCTTGTCAGTGTCATCGGTGAGGGAGACTTTGTTATCATTTAGCAGGGGCGGAAGTTCGTGACCACGCTTAGAGGAGGACCGATGACAGCAGGTGTTAGCGACGGATTTGTCAGGACTCGAATCACTGAGGGCAAGTGATTCTATTTGCCTGTCGCGCGCTTGGCGCATCCTTGAGGCCATCCTAAAAAATCTCTGTGATTCTAAGATGAATTGATAAGGGACTAGTGGATGGGTTACGCAGTTGTCGCCTCAACTTTTTTAGTCTGTTCTGAAGAAAATGAGGGACAAGGGAATCTGAAGAATTAGGCTCGAGATATCTACGCGGCAAAAACTCTAGAATGTCCTTGGAAACATTGGACATGACATCACGAAGAATGGTTACATCGCCACAAGTGAGGAAGCCACACCAATCCGAAGATCTAATATAGTTATTTATTAAGTCTTTATCTACGCAGTCGTGGTTCATGTAAGTCCGAACGGCGCTTGTCTTTTTTGAAAAGGCAAGCGGTAGGCTACAATGAATTAATACTTGGTCACTGTCAAAGAGGTCCTTTTTTAAAGCAACAGAAAGAGGAGCAATGTCATTGGTAAAGATTAGATCTAAAATGTGATTATCTCTTGTTGGAGAGCGCACCAGTTGGGACCAATTAGAAAAATTGGCAATATCTTGAAAGGGCTGGAATCTGGGTGGGCAGCTATTGGAAACCCAGTCTATTTCAGGAAGGTTAAAATCCCCAGTGATTATTTTAACATCGAAAGCAGCTTCCGAAATTAATTTAAAGATTTCACAGAGTTGTGAATCATCACTGGCTAAAGAATTTGGGGGATTGTAGATACAGCCAATAATTGCCTTTCTTTGCGGCGAGAGAATAACAGAAGCAAAGCAGAAGTTTCCCGTGAATGAGGAAACATCCAAGTAATAGGGTGAGTGGTTTAGGTAGGATTTAAGATAAAGAAGACAACCACGTCCATGCCTAGTCGTGCGGTCTTGGCGGTAAAAATCGAAGTCATCTATGAGAAGGGCAGAGTCAGAAATTAGAGAATGGGTCCAAGATTCTGTTACACATATAATAT